TTCATCATGTCTCCAAAATACAAGGAATAGGATTCAGGATCTCTGAATCCGTACCGAGTAAATCAAAAGACACAAATCCATAAATAGGAGTCTGTTAAGAACTCAGGATTAACATCATCCTATATATGACCATCGGTAGACTCAATTAGAATTTCTATACTTAACGGAATTATTAGAAATTCATATTGTGTCTGTGTCCTTGTTCCACATAATCTCATTATGCGAAATACACTCATTCAATATCTTGCCATATTAACAGTGCGGATAACACCGTTCCATTCTAAATGGGAATGACATGTATTAATAATGTTTTAATTAAAGATTCTGAACTTTAATTAAATTCATTATGAACATTGCTTTTTGATTATTATCCTTAAACATTATCCTCTCGTATATAACACTTATATACAGTGTTTAAGGTTACATAAATAATCATGGAATTTTCATTGATATTCACAAAATATTCATAAATATATGCACATAAAATAATGAATAAACTATTTTATTAAATAAATAATAAATATCCTATTACATCTCATGCTTCTAGGACACCATTCCCAACAGTTGTATATTTCTTTTGAGAGGATTACAATTTACATCAATTGTTCTTTCTCATTCTTTTTTCTCTCGGATCTCAACCCCTTTCCTGTATGGGGTCTCGCCCTTTTTATATTGGGGGCTTCCTTCGCTGGGTTGATTTCCTTTGTAGGCAGAAGCACTCAAGTGCTCTCCCTTTTTAGGCCCAGACGTAGCCTACTAATTACTTGGAGTACTGTTCACCCAGCCAATTAGTCTTTTATTACGGCTCTGTGCGTTCCTGTAACCCTTTTCTGTCCCCTGTGGGGCGGTTTAAGGGTTCGCAATAAATGCATGCCTTGCAGTCATCCCTCACTTCTGTACGCAATTTGCCACGTCAGATTTTTCCCCAAAGAGCATTCCCCCCGTCGCCAGTGTTGCTTAACCCAACTGTCCTTCTTGGCGGTTAGTTCCACAGTCGAGAGATTTCTATGTCCTAAGGGCGACGGTACGATCTGTCGACGCCAGAAGGAATCAACGCCCTAAGTTGGACTTTTCACTTGGGTTCTTCATAACAGAACGGGAGGGAGCCCCAGACGTCGAGGGTTGTTGCTTTGCAATGAGTAGTTAAGGCTACGTGTCATATTATCATTTTTTCACGTGTCCTTCACATTTTCCCACACAACAGTAGTTTAGCATAAACTTTGTGCATTTTTAACCCCGAAAGGGAGCTGTTATCCATGAACTTTGAGCATGTTTTTCAGATATCTATCATTCTTCGGAAACCATAATAGTAATTTTTAGTCGATATTGATTACAAAAATTTATTGTTAGTTTATTTGAACAGGTTTTCATAATTTTTAATTTACAGACAATAAAGCAAAAATCTTGAATCCAAGGGTGTCCATGAGATCGTCACGGATTAACAGATGGTCCCAAACCCTATATTACCCAATATTTACTCACCTCGTTTATTATACTACTATATTTTTACATTAAATATAGTATAAACAATCTTTTATATATAATATACATATACATTTTACTCTGTATGATGTTATATTATTTATGATACATGATATTGCGTCTGGTTCCCAAAACCCAATAGCAGCACTCTTCACTTTTAGAAAGGATATGTTGCCTTCTATATGAAAGTTTAAAATTTGAATAAATAAGCAAATAAAAAAGAAAGAAGCAAAAAGAGTCCAAAAAGCCAATAATACATTGAGCTGTCAACTTTATTATACGATAGTTGTATCACATTCTCCTTTCTCTACGAGACCAATAATTTGCTCACCGAATTCACCACTAAAAACAAAAAACAAAAAAACAACACCAGCCACCACGTTTATAGTGGCTCTTTCCTTCACATAGCATATATCAGTCATAAGTTGCTGTCTGAGCCAAGTTAGGAAATTAGACGAACCAACCAAATTTATATGATGATATATTTGATTTCGTTGAAGAAATCATTTATAGTTTGTCGGAATAATTCGTTAATTTGACCAGCTTTCTACATGCAATCTTTTTTTATGAGTTTTTTTTTCCTTTAAATTCATGCAACATTGATCATATAGCTTTTGGAGTGTCACAAACTTATATGCTCTAATTACTTCAACAAACATTTCTTTTTTTCGTCAAACAAATATAAATATAAATTATTGAATTCCCTGAGGAACCCCAAATTTTTTTTTTTTTTTTTTTTTTTTTTTGGCTTGGACTACATGACAAAACCCCACTTGGTGTTAAGATAATGTTATACAGTCCAATGTAACGAATCCTATAACATTTGTACCGTGTAAGTTTAGAATGGTTGAGCTGGCTATTGTTACTTTTCTTTGGTGAATTTACTAATTTAGACTATGATTAGAGCATCATACCAACCATGAAAAGTTGCACTTAAGAACATTAATTTATTAAATTAGAATCTCAAGCGAATCCACACACATCTGTGGCTTTTCACTGAAATTCGCAATTGGAGAAATTCTACTTTCCGTGACTAAACTTACGAACTTATGAACCGTTCAAATTTTCATTGAATTCTGTTAAAGTGTGGTATTTTCTTACTCTAATACGAGTATAGTATGACTTGACACTTTATAATTGTGTCTTACCTGTAGTGATTTTTTTTTTCCCTATATCCTATATCACACCCGTGTTTTTATCACAGATTCACACCCGTGTAGTCCGCCCCAATTTGCATCCGAAATGTGCTTTGATGATGATAATAATTCCATATCCTATCACACAGAATTCTCCCTTCTTTATCAATGTATATACATCGATATAGAACTAATCATTACACTATACAGTAATTAGAAAACGACAATTCAGCAAAAATTAGAAAAGGACAATGTGATTGGAGTATCCTCATGCATAGAATTTATATAACCTTAAAACGACAGATTGATCACGGGAGTGAATACAGAACATAACAGCAACCATAATTCAAATTTAAAAAAAAAAAAAAAAAAACAGAGAGAGAGAGAGAGAGAGAAATGTTCACAAAATAAAATGAAATAATGAACAATTCATACCCTCATGTGCAAGGGAGGAAAATCACAAACCATAACTTGTCCCTTAGCAAAAACATGCAGAGCTGTATTATCCCAAGTCCCAACACCTTCCAATTGTCCATTTTCACCTGGTGGGGTCCAGTCACTCCTCACACTAGTACTTGTCCCCACCACTACTTCCTTACTTTCTTTTTCTTTCTTTCTTTCCTTCTTTCTTTCTTTCTTTCAACACCCCAAGAAAATAGATAAGTATAGTCACATAGATATACCATTTTGAAGCCTTATTAATCATGAACCTCCTCATACTCTCATAATTCCTCCTAGTTTCCCTCTCTCTTCTATCCTTTTCTCCTACTCTCAAGCACAAAAAAGATTACTCACTCATTTATTGCAATCAATTTCCTTATCATTTATGGCTTCCTTTGAGTCACCACTCCCAAGAATAACAATCTTTATAGCTTTCATAACTTTTTGCTATAATTCTCATTACATCAACATCTCATTTGCCTTGGCTTCTCAACCAGAAGATATTCATGATCATATTCATATCCGATTCTCTACTATCTCAGCGGCTCCTGCGGTTTTGCCTGGATCACCAATATCTTCTGACCATGCCTTGTCTCCAACTCTATCACCAGACATTACTCCTCTCTTTCCCACACCAAGGAAAGAGCCACTCTCTCCGTCGGAATCCTCTCTCCCCACCATTCCTTCCAGCCCGAGCCCTCCGAATCCCGACGGCGTCATCGCCCCCGGTCCCGGTGTGGCGTTTCCGCCATCAGGCTCTCTGCTTACTTCCACTGCTAATTCACCTTCATCATGTCATGAGTTTCTCACTACTACTCTTGTTGTTCTGTTCATGACTTTGGTGGTTTCTTGCGCAATGTGAGAGAAAGTGAGGGACTTTGTTGGTGGAGCTGGTGATGATTCAGATTCAAAGAAAGAAGAAAAAGAAGAGATGGGAAGGTTTTTTTTTTTTCCTTCAATTATTGTTTCTAAGTGGTTCAACTTTTTTTTTTTTCCTGTAGTATTTAGTTTTCTTTTTTCCTGTCTGTTTCTTCAGTGTGATGTTAGGTGGTGGATGGTTAGTGGTGGTGATACATTGGCATTTTTTGTTAATTGTGAATTGTGATAGGATATGCTTACCGGGAAAATAAAGTATATAGTAAATAAAAAGCTGCTGTTCTCAATGTGTGTGTGTGTTTTTTTTTTTTTAATGTGTCTAAAGTTAGTGATCAGTTCCTTTTTTGTTAAGACTGAATAAAGTTAGTGATCAGTGGAGACCTGAAAAGGGTTCAGAACAAGGTTCCCATTTTTTGTTCTTTCTGAAGGAACAAGGTTCCCTTCTTACTCCTTGGTTAATTAGTAGTTCTTTATGTAGTCCATTTTTCAATTTGATCTCTTCTTTTTGGAAGAGAACCATTGGATAAGCTGAAGCAGCATTACCGATTAGGCGTCTATTTTGATTATTTATATGCATGTGAAGCAGGTATATATATATATATATACACATATATTTTCAAGGATCAAGTGGAAGCATAACATCAACACCAGAAACATAAATACTAATCAAACAATAATTGAATTACATAATATGTGAATAAACCAGGAGAAATATCGACAGTGATGGAAAACTACAAAAAGGAAAACACTTGCTTTTTAACTTTCTAACTAGAGTTAAGGAGCGAATCCCCTAGGTAGTATAGACTATATATCGACATTTCTATAGATTGTGTGTTCTACATATTAAGCTAACGGCAGACTGGTTTAAAAAAAAAAAAAAAACTGCGTACTAGTTAGTCTAAAGAGCAACAACGGGATACTTTTGAGAGCCACTAAAAAACTTCCCAAAAAGTCCCTCCTTTAATTTGTTCAACTCAAAGGGACTCTTTTGCCTTTTTGGGGAGTCTTTTGCAAGAGACTTTCTCAGCTTCACATTCTCTTCCTTGAGCATGTCCACTGCCATAC